GGTTAATGGTTGGACTCAATGATCTTAAGGGTCTTTTCCAACCTTAACGATGCTGTGGTTATATAAGCGTGCCCCGCCGCCGCTCTGACCGCAGGGGCGTTGCCTTGGTGTTGACCCCCGTCCTCCTCCCTCAGTGCCACAGGCCTTCGCCCAGGGGCGGCCTCCTGCAAGGGCACGGGGAGCTGCTCAAGCCACCCCAGCCATAGCCAAGGGAGGCTGATAAAAATTTAGAAAATACCGTGCCTTCTGTAGCCTGCCCCATGGCCGTGTGCCTCAACCTTTCTAAACTTGCACTGTAATTATGTGCCTCGAGACCTTGCTGCTAGTAGGGCTAAAGAAGGGCAGCAGCGATGCTGGTGAGACTTTCAAAAGCTCACGCGAGGGCACCTTGCCCATGGCCTTCCAGACTGCGCTGGCAAAGTCCATCCTCCCCTCCATCCCTCCCCGCTTCAGGGCGCTTCCTCGTGCTCCCGCAGAGGCTTTTCTGCGCAAATCTCCGCATCGCGTTGGTAAGAGACGCTGGCTCCATGCCTCAGCCTGCCTCCAAGCAGATGATTTCCAACCTCTGCCAGCCGCTGGGGCTGCAAAGCCACTGCGGAGGGACGGGCAAGCTGTAGCAATACTTGCAGGGCTGCTTTATTTTGGAAGGCAAACTCCACGTACCCTTTAGGGGCCAGCAAACCCCGGGGCAGCACGGGAGACGGCGCCGAGCAGCTGGTGCGGGGAAAAACAGCCCTCAGGTCCGTGGGTGACCTGGGGCTTCTGCTTGTGCACGCCTTTAGGAGGGGGCACCTGCAGCAGAATTATTTTTTCTGGTTTGTAGTGGATGGAAAAAAGACTTGGCTTTGCAAAAAAGTGGCTTTGCTTTGCAAAGGGAAATTCAAACGGATGGAAGCGTTTGGCTGGGGGCTCACTGCACTGGAGCCCGTGGGTGCCCTGGGCCGAACGCACGTTCTTGGTAGCTGGGCATTATTTTTTGCTGTGGGAAGCGTGCCAGTGTGGAAGGGCTAGCTTTTTTTGGGGGAAAAAAAGCCGATTTTTGAAACCGAAGGCTCCCCACGCATGGGGGTTTGCATGACCCGACCCCTGTGCAAGGGGAAACGTGTGCGTGTGTCCCGGGTCCCCGTGCAAGGGGTGACGTGTGTGTGCGTGTGTCCCGGGTCCCCGTGCAAGGGGTGACGTGTGTCCCGGGTCCCCGTGCCGGAGCGACCCGCCTGTCCCGCTGCACGGAGGGGTGCTGCACGCTCCCGGCAGGC